TCGATTTGGCGCCACTCCCCTTTACTGATGTGGAACTCAGGGCGCTGGTGCTCTGTACAATACCGCTGGAATATTGTCTGAAGGCGCTTGGCACGCTGGAGCATAAGATATGTGGAATTCCACCGAGTGCGGACATCTTGGATTGGAGCCAGCTTTATTCCGTCGCTCTGGAGATTCAGAAAGGCCTCCCGTCGCTGTGGGCTAGCATTGATGAATACAGCAAAAGCGCGAACCTATAATCATGATTAATATAAGATACCTTTATAGAGGTTAGATATATACCTTTGCAAGTGTATAAATAATTCCCTTCTGTAGCTTTGCTTGCTGAAGGATGCTCCCATTTTCTTCTGACCATACGGTCGCGGTTTTATCATTCTTTGGATTGGCCTTCATCAAGCCAAGAAGATCTTTTAGACTCAGCTGAATCACATGGGCAAGGCATGGAACCCGTATAATCTCAGTGGAATCCGGGAGATCTATCTGTCGGATCGATTCACAAAGACTTTCAACCATGGTTTTGTTGTTTGACGCATTATCAGTAGTAATTGCAATCACCCTATCAACGATCCCATGGTCAGAAAGAACACCGAGGAGAACCTCTGCCAAGTGAGCGCCGGTATGCTGGCCATGAACCGGCATAAAGCCTAGAAGTATCTCATGATATACCCAATCGATATCCACAAAATACCCTGTGATCGCCATAAACGCTTGTTGGAATGGTGAGGTCCAGCAGTCAAGAGCAATCGAGAGCTTTGCCCCAGCGGGGAGGTGGGAGAGTAGCTTTTGCTGTTCTGCCTGGACAATCGATTGGAGTCGACGCCGCGCAGTTTTCGGTGAAAGAAGGCTCAAAGGTTGTGGTGAAAGCTGTGCCTCTGCTATAAGATCTTGGAATTCTTGGTGCCGGAGGATTTGAAATGGAAGGCGAGAGTTTGCGATAAATTTTACCTGGGCTCTCTCAAATCTTTGTAGATTAAAGGCCTTTCGAGTAGATACACGGTTTGACTAAGAATGATATAGAAGTTAGCCTTAGATAGATTATTTATAAGACCCTAGTCTTACCGAAAGTTCAAACGATTGTTGTATATCCTGTTGGGTTGAGTCCTTTTGTGCGCCAGTTTTGCATGCGCGGCTACTCAAGTGCGCAGTTAGGGATTTCGACCCATTCAAGGTTGATGATGGGTGCGATAGCACCTTTCCACATCTCCGACAGAGTGCCATTGGTTTTCCAGTTTGATAGTGTGCTACCTGGTCAAACTGATCCCAAGCAGAAGATGTATATCGTGCTTCGAAGTTCACTTTATAGAGTGGAGGGTATGGATGAGCACCAGTTGTATTCCTCCACCATTCAATAAACTCTGCCTTATTCTCCATAGTCCAGAGAACCCAGAACTTTTGATTTCGTGGACCGATTCGACGAAGACTAGGTGGAAGAGGTGTTGATTCAATTTCGGACTGAACGACTGAGGATGGTGGTACGCTATAAATCGGCTGCTGGCTAATCGAATGGTCTGGTGTAAGGGGTTCATCTATCAAATCAAGATTATAGAGTGAAGATGGTGGAGGTATCCCAATTTGCGAGGAGGCAATCTGGGACGAAGGGCTAGCCTCAGCATAAAGATCGTATTGAGACATGATATTCCAATAATCATTATATCGTAGAGGACTGGGGTAAAGAGGGGAGGGACTTAGGAGTATAATAAGGATAGAATAATCTTGACTTACCTCTCAAAAATCTTCTGATTAACGATCGCATCTATCCTCTATACCTTGAGTACTCTATAGTAGGCCGAGTAATAACTAGCGCGAAGATAGATCATAAGATAGTAAGACCTTCTATTTACAGCTCCCCGATTGGTTAAGCAAGCTTTATAATAGTGGGGGTCCCACGGGTGTCCCATAGGAGTCCCGCGGGAGTCCCGTGGGAGTCCCATGGGAGTCCCATCAAGTCAGGGGTATAGTCAGTTTTGAGGGTCAACCCGATCCCCTAGCATTTTGATGGAATTTCTTGTATAAAGGCTTCCAAAGCTCAATTTTCTGACCCCAGTCAAAAAACTGACAGTCGTATCAAATCATTGTATCTTCTACTGCCATTTTTCTGACCTCGGTCAGAAAATTGATAGTCGTATCAAGTCATTGTATAAAGGCTTCTAAAGCTCATTTTTCTGACCTCGGTCAGAAAATTGGCAGTAGTGTCAAATCATTATACTTCTAAACCTACTATATGCTAATGCTACTACTATGTACATATAATTAAATTACTTAAAAATATAAAGAAAAAATATACAAATAATGTAGGTCACGAGGTCAAGGAATTCTACTTAGTTACTAAAAAGGCCTTAAGGCCCGTGGGCAGTGCCCACCCGCCCGTCCATAGGCGATGTCGCAGTCCAGACATTGATTTCTATACCAATAATATGATATTAAGAGTAGTTTTGAAATAAAAGGATGAAATAAAGACCTATCTATAGTATCTAATGCTGTAAAAAAAAAGGATTTATTATATTTTGGTATAATTTTTAATATGTGTAGAGCTTAGTTGAAACTGGAGAGTATAGCATGTATGTGAATATATATATCTCTACTGACTGACCATGATACTAAGTCAACAACTTCTTCTTGATCTCCTACACCTAATTTTACATATTTGAGCTTACTTTTGCTTGAATATAATATTTAAATATATGGCTGAGATATTCATCTTCTATTTTTAATAGTATGCCATATAAAAAAGTTAGATTGCTACAAACTTGAAGTGAGAATGTTGATACACCTGTAAAAAACAGTATTTTATCTGCTGAGTTAGCATTTTTGTGCAACCAAAATAGGAAATGCTTGGCAAAAATATGTATGCCATGGGACCATATGGGAGTCCCATCACTCCCATGGGACTCCCATGGGACCACTATGGTAATGGGACCAAAATTTTGGCTAGTCCCATGGGAGTGATGGGACCAGGATATGGGACCAAAATTTTTCTAGTCCCATGGGAGTTGGCAAGGTCTAGTCAGAAATGAGTAGGCCTTGACAAGTCCCGCAGCACCAGCCGATTTTTGGTCCCGGCCCCGCAGCACTAAATAAATTCTGGTGCTGTGGTGCTGCGACCATACCTATTTAGGCTAGGAAATTACCTAAATAGGACGATGATCAGCATAATAATGCCAAGGCAGCACTGAGACTAGCGGCTTGGCGCCCACTTGGCGCCAAGGCGGGACCAAATCGGCGGGACTTGTCAAGGCCTAGGTAGGATAACATCCTCTCTGCTTCGACCTTGACTAATTTTCAGGTAGAACGCATTGCACTCCTTATTCATATTCTATGCGAACTGCGTCTCAGCCACGGAATCACAGCACAGAAACTGAAAGTTGCACAGCAACCCAGTAGACGGCTCATTGAACCGATAGAACGATTACGACTTTTAGATGAGATATACGCTGTTAGAGACGCGGAGGAAAAGTTTCTAGAGGGATTAAGAGGTAGGTTACCTGCAATTAACCACCAATTAGGGCTAATTATATCTCAAGATAGGAAAACAAGAATCCCAATTTCGAAGGCAAACTTACCCGACCTCCTTGATACCGTGAGCAAACAACTCAATGAGAGCAATAGATACTTTTCAGTCGCTGGGAGGACTTCTTCTAAGCGGAAAACTCCGGGATTGTCAATGAGTGACAGGAACTCTCAGACGTGGCCCGCGACAAACATGAACAACCAACCTTGGACCACGGGTTCTTTTTCTCATCAAGGATCTCACTTCTATCCCAACGCTCCTTCATCGTCATTGATTCCGCTCCAGGGTATTCCGTGTCCAGCTCCCACGACAGTGCACGTTCTCCAAGACTGCCATTGGTCATTACCCGAGACTCTTGGTGACTTGGCAGACCTGGTGCAAATGTGAACCATTGATTTACCTTCACACGATGTAAGTTGAAGATTACGTGGGGCCTCCCAAGTCTAAAACAGCGCCTGAAATTGTACGAGTACTAATGGGGTAGAAATATTCCAAAGTAGCAGCTCATGTTGACCCGCCCAAGGGGAAAACCAACCGTCACAAGCACAGTCAAACCTCGCATCGCCCCAAAGCTTTCCTGTGCTTACTCCAGATATAGCCGCAATATATACCACTCGTCGTAATCTGGCCATCTCAAAGTATAATTTCAAGCCCACATGGTGAAGATGGCTCTTCTTATGGAGATTGTCGCAGCCGGGTTGTGGAAGGGGTAATCTGCCGCTACGTGAATTGAGGCGTAAATCAGGTCATAGCAATTTCCAGTAAAATACACCGAGTCTTGTCTTACTACTGTACTGTAAGTTACAAGAACTCAAGCGGAAAGCGGTCTGAAAGGCAAGGGTTTGCTTCATATCCAATCAAAATTCATGACACTCGGATTTATTCTCCGGAAATCAAGTCATGAGAGTGTGCAGGTATAGCTGATTTCGAATACTACTGTACCTTTGTTATTCTGTTTATCTTAAAACAAAATCCCAGACAGGAACTCATAGAGAGGCTTCTTCGCTGGACCGAGCATTTCCTCAGGATCTTTCGCATAGCTTGCGTACTGAGTAGAAAAGCTCAAAATAAAATTACCCTTCCTACATTATACTTCGTACAGGCGTGATTTATTTTTCGGCCTAACAGCCCATCTATTCGTATATGTGAGAGCGCCATCAGCTCAGAGACTGGATACGCAGTTTCGTTTATTTTGATCGTTTCTTTTTGGGAATTGGCATGTCTAACCAAAGCAGGCAGATAGAGAGGGATATCCAGAGGGATTTAGTCGGCCCTAGCAGACTAGTTCAACCGACCCGCTACACTAGGTGTCAAGAGAAAAACGCGTTGCTTGCTATATTTGAAGCAATGCGACGATGTGGTGCACTCGTACAGCCATGACTTCAGAGGAATTTTTTTATGATCGGAAACTAAATAATTGACAAGACCAGACAGACCTAAGAATGGCTGACTTCAGCCTCTGCAGTTCGAGCGATACACCACCGCGCGTAATTTAAACCTCACGCAGAGACAGGTTCAAGTCTTGACCAACGACCTTGCCGCCTTCCAGTTGTACCTGTTCGATAGGTTGAAACACGATAAAGACACGTAAAACACCAGAATTGTCTTTCTTTTCAGTCGTATTCCGCCAAGCATGAGCCGTACCTCGTTGAACAAATACATCGCCTTTTTTCAGCAATTTTCTCTCACCGGAATCAAGAACTAGTTCTGTCGTGCCATTAATTACGACACCATAGTCGAGGGTCGCTGTTCGGTGCATTGGAACCCCTGAACCTGGAGGTACCTCAATAATTGTACAGGAGGTGCCGGTTGGCGGATTCAAAGGCGATGGATCCGAGAGCTTCGAGCGATAGTGCTTAATGTCGAGGTTGGCTTTGGGCTCTGGGGTTGCAGACGTTGGAGGGGAAAGCCCTTGCACAGGAAATGTATTGGTATTGAAGGCCAGAGCATAGTCTGACGTTGTAGGCTTGCCAGGGGGAACCGGGAACCCAGTAAATGATACCTGCTCCCCAACCGCGTCACTAAAGATAGCTCGGCCGCTTGTAGAATCATGGGTTGTTATGATCCGACGAAGCGGCTCGGGCTGTCTTTGTTCGACTGACATGTTGAGATCAATGTCAAGAAAGAAGAGGGCGAATACCTAGAATATCATTCGGCGCTCGATACATTAAGACTGAGAGATATTGCAATTGATCCCAGAAACGCTCCCCACTTATATTATTGGCTTGTATTAGGCATATTACTCAAATTTAGATCATCATGGAGTCAGCAATGAGTCACTGTTTGTCTTGTCATATGATGAAGATATCATTATGACGTTCAATTCATCATTGATCTCTTTACCAAGGCCTGAGGACCCAAGGAATGGTTTTTTCCACATGCTAGACACGTTCTTATTGAAAGGACCATCTTAAGAGATAATCGTGGCATCATTCAAACTATTAATAAGTGAGCATTGCACGGCATTGAGATTGCATGGGAGCTCGCGTGTTCAGCAAAGTTGTGGAGACAGTCTTACCGTACTGTGTCACTTGGACATCGGAATGGGAATGAAAAGTCATACTATGCTAGATTCTCTGGAGGTTGACTTGTTTGCATTACTATAAGAGGATAAAAATTCTAGTTCCTTGGTTTGCTAATACAGTCACGAGGAGGACAAGCGGCAAAGACGGGTCTTCCTATGTCGAGGACATTGAAGGGAGGCTACGTGACGGTGTATTGGGGAGCTAAACCCAAAGCGGCAAAATTAACTGGATACAGTAATTCACACGTCCGCTGTTTACATCATCAATTGAGTTGAGCGTGATTGAGTTTTCAAACATCAAACGCCACAAAACTAGAGTTATAAGACACGGGAATCAATCATGGACTGGACAGCATCGACCACGCTAGATTTCAAATCGACGTATTCCCATTTCCCCCTTTGTGGCCCTTGCTCAAAATTTCCAAACTAAGCTTCATATCCCAGCCGGTTGGATGGATCCCCGGAGGAAGAAGCTGCGAGGGATTTCCCTCCGGCACTCGATCTTTGAGGCTGGGGAAATTTTCACGTATGGTATTAGCCACTAGCTGCGGGGAAATGAGCCCGGATATCAAAAGAACCCGCTGGTTTGCGGCTGCTGGGTTGGTGAGGGCATCGACATGGCTCTGTGCCACATCCCGAACATCAACCTAGCAATCAATTAGCTTTATTGGCCTAGGGGAGTCCTACGGTATCTCGTACAAAGTGATAGAAAGGGAATTCGACTCCGTCGATGGTTTTGTGAGTTCTATCAATGAAGCTGGCGATAGCGAAATGGTTGGTTTCATTGATGGAGCCTGCTCCTTCGATAGGATGGATCATCGGTCCAGTAATGATATCTGGGTTGATAACAGTCAAGTCAAAGGGAACTTTGTTTTGCTTGAAGAATTCCCATGCTGCGGTTTCGGCTCTGGTTTTCGAAACATTGTATCCGAGAACGGGGTCATTTCGTTCAACAGCCTGCTCAGCTGTGACCTGTCATTGTGTAAGAAGTTAGGACCTGTGGTATATACAAAATGCAAAATGGGTTGCTTACTGGGTTCCAATCTTTCTCGGTGTAAGGTTTGCCCTCTTTAGTCATGTCCTCGAATGAGCTCAGCACGGCAACCGCACTGCCAAGAAGCACGAATCGTTTCAGAGTGGAGCCACCATACTTTTGAGTAGCTTTCAGTATCTCCGTTGTGCTTGTGACTTTAGCGTTATCCAGGTTTAAGATATGCGGATGGAGGCTCACCCTTTTTCAGCGGGCTCAATCATCTCCTTGCGGATATCGGAGACTTTGAACTTTAATGGCGATGCGGTATGGATCACATAGTCGAATGGCGCTTTCGCCTTTGAAAAGATGTCATCAAACGGTGTCTCGGACGTAAAGTCTGACACGATCGCAAATTCAATGTTGTTCTTCCATGTAGGATGGGTTGCGATGATGGCGTCCCCCTTGGACGGAGACCGAACAGTCGCTGTCACGAAATAGCCTTCCTGCTTGAGAATTAGCAGTCAATTGACAATGAAATACGCTGGATCTATTAATATGAGTCCTTACATCAATTAAAATGGACAAGATATGGGAGGCAACAAATCCGTTAGCTCCCGTCAACAGGACATGCTTTCCCTTGCCTGGCTGTGACATTTCGAAAGCTCGACTGAGATACTGAGTATTGTAAGTGGTGATAGACGGTAGAAGACAGAAGACAGAAGATAATCTACATACAACGTGTGAAATAGATAGGTCGGGCGAACTTGTACGTTATAATCTCCGGGGCTTCGAGACCGAGCATGCGTTCATAGTTGACGTCAGAGCCAACCTTAAAAGACGTAAGAACAAAACCCAGAAATCAATCAATTTATTCTTTGGATCATTACGAATCTCTGATGAAGCTACCGTCCGCACTAGTTTCGAACACGACCTGGCATGTGGCACATGTCCCTTCCGTTCCCAGCCGGCAGGTTTTCGAGACACGCCTCAAAGACACAGAAATGAATTTCTACATCGATCGATTAATTTCGGACTTCTACCTTAGCCTATTTTCTGGCCATACTTCGAAGCACTTGTGGTGTGCCAATTCGTGTATTGCATTCTTTCGTGATGAAGGTCTGGTCCTTGGAATCTGTCCACGACAAAAAGCAGCAAAAGCTTGAGACTGTCCACGACAGTAGTTGAGAACCGCTGTAGCCATGATTGCCTAATGTTGCACAGTCGACTAGAAATCCTTTCTCAATTGTTCCAAAGGCGGAAGAACGCCCTCGCATTCGAGGATTTTGAATGTCTCCTCCAACTCGTCCCACGTATCGGCATACCCAGTCCAACCCAGCTTCCTAGCCTTACTCATACTTCCCACACAACTCCAGTCCCTACCAAGAGTCATCGTCAAAAATTTCCAGGTGGCCTTGTCCCATGCGTGTTGATCGAGGTTGTAACGTTCACGGAGTGTAGCCCAGGCCTTGTTCACATCCTCTCGTTTCGCCCACTTCTCAGGGTCAACCTGAAGGAACAATGTGGGGGAATCGTTGGAAACCGAGTCTGTGGAGAGACCCAGCGCGGAAGCAGATGCCTTCAGAGGCGGCTTGTTTTTGAAACGAATCGTCGACGACTCGTAGCCTTTGAAGCCTTTGGTATCCGGAGTGCCTCCGTTCGGGAACATTGGATCAGGAATACGACAGCCAAACCGGGCGGCCATACGTGGCCACAGGTTCTGGAAAGATTCCGTATCTCCATTCATTACGTTGAAGATCTGATTTCCGGCCCCCTGTGCGGTGGCTGCCCACAGACAGAATTTGGCATGGAGATTGGCCGATGTCCAACAATTGAAGGCGAAGTAATTGGCCTTGCTGCCAATGAATGGAAGCTCGGATCCCGGAAGAGCTTTGTTGACAGCACAGTACAGCCCCAGGGCCGTGGCTTCGTTCATAAAGTTGCCACGAGCATATCCCAGTACGTCTTCTGGGAGTGTGGCAACCCATTCCCAGCCGCCTTTCTTAGCCGCGTTTGCTAGGACACGTTGTTGGGGATAATAGAAGATCGGCGGCCAAGATACACCACCTGCATCGTTTTCTAAAAGGGGGTCGTCCTCCAGTAGAGGTTGCTTTCCCGGCCCGATATGTACACCGTACTGCTTGAACCCGCAGGTGAGAATGAAACGTTTGATCTTCCGAGCCGTGCCGTTGAGCTCCAGTGCTTCCAAGAAGTTGTAAAGTAGAGCTTCATTCACTCGTGACTGCTCATCCTGGTCGTCCGAAGCCAAGTAGGCGCAAAAATAAATATACTCGGCGGACACACCCTCGAAAGACTTGGCCATATCTTGCGCCGAGCTTTGCAGGTCCAGGGTGACATGTTGGACTTTCGAATCTTTGTAACCCGGGTTTCCACGCGAGAAAGAATAGATTTTGTCGTAAGATCCATCTTTTAACAGGTGATGCACAATCGCACTCCCGGTGATTCCTGCAAAACGATAAATGAATGGGTGGTGGCAAACTTCACAATGGAATTACTTACCAGTAGCACCGGTAACAATAGCTGAAGGCATGATAATGTCGATTTTGGCTTGCTGCAGTAATATTTGAAAAGCGGTTTGTCAAAATTCGTGGTGCTTTCAGCAGGGTATGCAAGTTAGATGAACATTCGGGATCTGGGGCTCGGGATCTGATGTCTTCAACGACGTCATTATACTACATGCGAAAAGAAAAAGTGACCTCGTAATGCCACTGAAGTCATTCTGAGTGACCAAAATTGTCCAACCTAATCTATTAGATGAACCATTCAACTTGACTGAACTGGAAAAATGCACAATTTCACGCGCTCAAGGGTTGGCTGGGGTTGGCTGGGAATAGTAGGGCGTAGGGCGTGAAGCGTGAGGTCTGAGTCCCACCCGTTTCGGCGGAATGTTCAACGACAAGCCCCTCGGAGACTTTCGTGATTGTTATTCAACAGAGGCGTTGGATCGAGCCCCGGACGTCATTTCTGTCAAAGTTTGAAAGTAGAATTACCAATATAGACATTCCAAGTATTCATATAAGACATAAAATCGGGGGAAGGATTCCTGTTCCCATCACAATACACGTGTATCTATTGATTTGATCATAGTCATCGATCTCAAAATGTCCTCGTGAGTGTGATCTACAAATCCCACAGATGCGGGAGAATGCTAACGCTCAAAGTCCCCAAGAAAAATACCTCGCTGCAATTGAGGCCAACCGGAAAGTCAACCCGGAGACTATCGAAGACCTCTTCAGTCAACTTCCATCTCTTAAGCCAGATTAGACTGCGACATCGCCCGTCCATGGGCACCTAGGAGGTGCCCATCGCCCGTCCACGGTGGGCCTTGGGCTATTTGGATTTTCGAGTGCCCGTCCATAACGCCCAAGGCCCACGGGCATGCCCACGGCGGGCATGCCCACGATGCCCACCATTATATAAAGTTGTCTTAAATATATATAAAAATTAGATATATAGTAAATTATAGTATATATATTTATATATATCTTATTAAAAATCCGGAATTATGATTGTAAATATATAAAAAATATAAATTTAGTTGAAATATTTTGAAATCTGTCAATTAAAATCACGTGTTGCGCTAATTTTGCTTACTAAAAAGGCCCACGGGCGCCCACGGTGTCCATGGACAATGGGCCCTAAGGGTAGGGCCCGTCCATGGGCGTATTGATAGTGCCCATCGCCCGCTTACATAAGGCCCGTGGGCACTGCCCACCCGCCCGTCCATGGGCGATGTCGCAGTCTAAGCCAGATCAATTGCTTGGTGAATGGAATGGAGGGTACTTTGACACTGGACACCCGGTCGCCACCCAGCTGGAGGAGATCAAGTGGGTCGGAAAGTCATTCAAAACTCTGGAAGATGTTGATCCTGTGATCGTTGAGCGGGATGGCAAACGAGTTAGCTAAAATTTATGAATATTATTAAGGCGTAACAGCATAAATATACTTACAGTCGATCTTATTAGTAATACCTCTACTTCTATATTTACTAGAGAGATCATATAATCTAAAGGATAAATAGCTAAAGCTTTATAATCAGGGAAATAGAATGTCACGGGTCAGACCCGCCCTCATTATATGGCTCTGCCATATAGTTCTTTCACCGCATACGCCATTCTTCACCGCCTTTTCTGTTATTTCTGCTATTCAGCTTGTTCCACTCTTTCTCTTCCTTCTAAGCTTGTAAACAGCATGCAGGCATCGTCTAGTTGAATCAATTTGACCATAGCCCTTCACAGAACTGTATAGAAAGCTTATTTGAAATTTCTACCTATTTCAACCCAACTGGCCTAGTTTATAGGTTATAAAAATATTGATTGAAAGTTAGTTGAAATAGTAGAGGGTAGTTTATTGTTATAGAAATCTATAATTCTGTAGTCTCAGTATCAAGAAATATGTAGAACGGTAAAAGCAATTTAGGTTGTTTTGAGAGGCTTACTATACCTTGGCTGGTCCGTTCTGCCGAGTGGCTGGATGTTGGTTGCCAGGGAAATAAGGTGCGTAGTGACGTCAAATTTTGGCAATCGGCTGAGAACAATCTTGTAAGAGCGGGGTGAAAAAATTCTCGCTGGTAGACGTGGGGGGTGGGAGGGTATAAGCGAATGCACGGACATCAGAGCAAGTGGAGACAAACAAACCAATAACATCTAATGAACACCATCCTCACCTTTTTGCTAGGGTGGTGATCAATTAAACAATATGATTTCCTCGAGCAAGTAAAACACTTACCCTGCCGTCAACAACTTGACTTCCCACTGACTCAACGTTTTTCAAGTTCCTCGTGTGCAATGGTCAACACAAGTCCACCATTAACTAACCCACCCGATTTCCGCAATAACATTTTTTGAAGGGCATCCGTTTCCACACTCTACTACATCTACTATAACGAGAGCTCAAACACGTTGAATCGGCCTCGAACGCCGTAGAAATTGAGCGGCTTCTCAATTCTTCAACACCGCCGCACTATATTGCGTTTGCCTGTCTTGTTCTGGTCTAAACCCAGCTCGCTGTTTTCAGGGTTACCTACGATATGCTGAGTTATGGAGCTATATTCAATCATCGCTCCTAGGATCATGCGAATGGCCTCTGGGAGCTAAATGTCCTCCAGGACCTGTTGTCAGGGATATACATGAAGTATACAGGATGTTTGGAGAAATGATCTGCGGGACCCACATGGTGCATCTGGGTTCCCCTGAACGCGAGGAAGCTACCTTTCTTTTGCTTCCTCGCGCTACGTAATGTGAGGGTCTCACGTATACGTGAGCTCTGATTTGTTGATACGCGATACCGTCAGTGCGGCTGCGGATGTAGGCAATCCGTTGCTCTTCATTCGGGTATTGAGCGGCGCTGTTCATCAGCTTATCCTGCACCTTGTCTCTCCAGCTATCAAATGCGCCGCGATCTCCTGAGAATACAGGTGCGTCGGGAAACTTTGGATTATTGAACCGCTCCGGACTGTTGTACGGCAAGTGAGAGCTTTCTCGTCGGGGAACACGACTGTTGTTGTTTCTTCCCGGAACCGGCATCGATTGTCTCGCTGTATTCATCACCGTGAGGATTGACTGGTCTCGTTCTCGGCAAGCTCCGTCCAGCTTCAAAGTCAATTCCTCGACTCGCTTCTCTGCCAAATCTCTTTGCACAGTCATACGGTCTCTCTCACGTCGCAGTTCTCGGTTGTCTTCGCCTAAACGTATGACTTCTTCACGAATCACATCATCGGTCACTTGGTTCGTATTCATTTTGGCTTGTTTGTCCATGGCGAGCATAACATCCCACCAAATCTCGAAATGGTGTCGCAATCGTGCTAATTGCTGTGCTCTGTCTAGAACACTAGACCTTGCCAACTCCCATGGGACTAGAAAAATTTTGGTCCCATATCCTGGTCCCATCACTCCCATGGGACTAGCCAAAATTTTGGTCCCATTACCATAGTGGTCCCATGGGAGTCCCATGGGAGTGATGGGACTCCCATATGGTCCCATGGCATACATATTTTTGCCAAGCATTTCCTATTTTGGTTGCACAAAAATGCTAACTCAGCAGATAAAATACTGTTTTTTACAGGTGTATCAACATTCTCACTTCAAGTTTATAGCAATCTAACTTTTTTATATGGCATACTATTAAAAATAGAAGATGAATATCTCAGCCATATATTTAAATATTATATTCAAGCAAAAGTAAGCCCAAATATATAAAATTAGGTATAGGAGATCAAGAAGAAGTTGTTGACTTAGTATCATGGTCAGTCAGTAGAGATATATATATTCACATACATGCTATACTCTCCAGTTTCAACTAAGCTCTACACATATTAAAAATTATACCAAAATATAATAAATCCTTTTTTTTTACAGTATTAGATACTATAGATAGGTCTTTATTTCATCCTTTTATTTCAAAACTACTCTTAATATCATATTATTGGTATAGAAATCAATGTCTAGACTGCGACATCGCCCATGGACGGGCGGGTGGGCACTGCCTACGGGCCTTAAGGCCTTTTTAGTAACTAAGTAGAATTCCTTAACCTCGTAACCTATATTATTTGTATATTTTTTCTTTATATTTTTAAGTAATTTAATTATATATACATAGTAGTAGCATTAGCATATAGTAGGTTTAGAAGTATAATGATTTGACATTACTGCCAATTTTCTAACCGAGGTCAGAAAAATGAGCTTTAGAAGCCTTTATATAATAACTTGATACGACTATCAATTTTCTGACCTCGGTCAGAAAAATGGCAGTAGAAGATACAATGATTTGATACGACTGTCAGTTTTTTGACTGGGGTCAGAAAATTAAGCTTTAGAAGCCTTTATACAAGAAATTCCATCAAAATGCTAGGGGATCGGGTTAACCCTCAAAACTGACTATACCCCTGACTTAATAGGACTCCTATAGGACTCCCACGGGACTCCCGCGGGACTCCTATAGGACACCCGTAGGACCCCCACTATTATAAAGCTTGCTTAACCAATCGGGGAGCTGTAAATAGAAGGTCTTACTATCTTATAATCTATCTTCGCGCTAGTTATTACTCGGCCTACTATAGAGTACTTAAGGTATAGAGGATAGATGCGATCGTTAATCAGAAGATTTTTAAGAGGTAAGTTAAGATTATTCTATCCTTATTATACTCCTAAGTCCCTCCCCTCTTTACCCCAGTCCTCTACAATATAATGATTATTGGAATATCATATCTCAATACGATCTTTATGCTGAGGCTAGCCCTTCGTCCCAGATTGCCTCCTCGCAAATTGGGATACCTCCACTATCTTCACTCTATAATCTTGATTTGATAGATGAACCCCTTACACCAGACCATTCGATTAGCCAGCAGCCGATTTATAGCGTACCACCATCCTCAGTTATTCAGTCCGAAATTGAATCAACACCTCTTCTACCTAGTCTTCGTCGAATCGGTCTACGAAATCAAAAGTTCTAGGTTCTCTGGACTATAGAGAATAAGGCAGAGTTTATTAAATAGTAGAGGAATATAACTAGTGCTTATCCATACCCTCTACTCTATAAAGTGAACTTCGAAGCACGATATACATCTTCTGCTTGGGATTAGTTTGACCAGGTAGCACACTATCAAACTGGAAAACCAATAGCACTCTATCGGAGATATAGAAAGGTGCTATCGTATCTATTATCAACCTTAAATAGGTCGAAATCCCTAACTGCGCACTTAAGTAGCCGCATATACAAAACTAACGCACAAAAGGACTCAACCCAACAGGATATACAACAATCGTTTAAACTTTCGGTAAGACTAGGGTCTTATAAATAATCTATCTAAGGCTAACTTCTATATCATTCTTAGTCAAACCGTATATCTACTCGAAAGGCCTTTAATCTACAAAGATTTAAGAGAGCCTAGGTAAAATTTATCGCAAACTCTCGCCTTCCATTTCAAATCCTCCGGCACCAAGAATTCCAAGATCTTATAGCAGAGGCACAGCTTTTACCACAACCTTTAAACCTTCTTTCACCGAAAACTACGCGGCGTCAACTCTAATCGATTGTCCAGGCAGAACAGCAAAAGCTACTCTCCTACCTCCCCGCTAGGGTAAAGCTCTCGATTACTCTTAACTACTAGACCTCACTATTCCAACAAGCGTTTATAGCGATCACAGGGTATTTTATAGATATCGATTGGGTATATCATAAGATACTTCTAGGCTTTATACCGGTTTATAGCCAGTATACCGGCGCTCACTTAGCAGAGGTTCTCCTCGGTATTCTTTCTGACTATAGGATCGTTAATAGGGTAATTGCAATTACTACTAATAATACGTCAAACAACAAAACTATAGTTGAAAGTCTTTATAAATCAATCCGACAGATAGATCTCCCGGATTCCACTAAGATTATACGGGTTCTATACCTTACCTATATGATTCAGCTAAGTCTAAAAGATCTTCTTAGCTTAATAAAGGCCAATCTAAAGAATGATAAAACCGCGACCGTATAGTCAGAAGAAAATAGGGGCATCCTTCAGCAAGCAAAGCTACAGAAGGGAATTATTTATATACTTACAAAGGTATATATCTAACCTCTATAAAGATATCTTATATTAATCATGATTATAGGTTCGCGCTTTTGCTATATTCATCAATACTAGCCCACAGCGACGGGAGGCCTTTCTGAATCTCTAAAGCGACGGAATAAAGCTGGCTCCAATCTAAGATATCCGCACTCGGTAGAATTCCACATATCTTATACTCTAGCGTGCCAAGCGCCTTCAGACAATATTCCAGCGGTATTGTACAGAGCACTAGCGCCCTAAGTTCCACATTAGTAAAGGGGAGTGGCGCCAAATCGATTACCTACTCTATATCACAAAGCCTTTCTACAAGTGGACGGTCGGTCTATTAAAGATCAAGACAACAACCATTTACAATATTTTTATAGTATATAACCGGCTATTCATACATTTTAAACAATCCTAGGCCCGACTTCGTCGTAAGAAGGTACCCTAAAAGAAGGCTATACTAGCGGCTCTTAAAGCTGGAAGGGAAAAGCTTTCGGTATACTACCAATTAACAGAGGAAGCCCATAGTAGCTTATACACTATAGGTACCATTCTTACTCCCCAGTATAAGCTTAAGTTTTTTGAAGGCCCAGAATGGTTAGGTCAGGTTCAGCTTAATAATACTATTTCCTCTTAGTATAATATATACAAGTCTTCGCTTTATAGCCATCTTAAAAACTATTCGAAACATCAGCCAGAAAGGGAAGTACCACCCACAGCGATACCTTCGGCATATTATACAGAGGATGAAATAGTAAGCCTTCTCGCTAAGGATCAGCTACCGCCCCCACTACCATCAAAAGCTACTAGTTAGGAAGAAGAACTTAAGGGATATCTCAATCTTAGTAAGTTTATACTATCCTTTTACAATTTTACGAACTACGTTACTAACTCTCTATAGAATGGAGCGCAACGAATCTATACCATTTCTGGAGGGAGAATGCGCGTAACTTTCCGATACTCGCAGGACTTGCACGGGACGTCTTTTCGATCCCAGCTATAGGCGTAGATATTAAGCGTCTCTTTAGTACTGCTCGCGATATTTGCTATTACCGACGGGGCTCTTTAAATAAATCGACGATTCAAGATCTAATGATACTCCGTTGTTTATTAAGGTTTAACATTAGAGATAAAGAAACTAAGGATACTATTTAACCTGAATCCGTTCTTAACCAAGACGAAAGAACAGAGATTGACGAATAAAGGGAGGCAGGACTTCCTGACTATACGCCAGAGCCAATCAGTAATGGTGAAGATAGCGAAGACAGTATAGACGATAAAGCCGACAACGTTAATCCAGACAATATAGATACCGCCATAGAAGAGGCAGAGCCAGATCATTCTATACGCCACCAATTACTAGTGATTCCGTTCAGTTAACAACATCCCCAAAGAGAACGCAAGCGACGAAGAGATAATGATTTGTATACTTATACATAATAGAGATAGATTAGTATAGAATTTTTTAACAGCTGTTAAAATATCAAATTCTACTGTCTATCAGAAATTGCGCTCTAGATATAGCACTGCAAATCTACTATTTTTATCCTAATACCAAGCCCAAAGTATTATTATCTCTATTCTTTAAGTAATTAAAATACCCAAAAAAACAGTGGCATTCTTCATAAGTTATACAGGTCACATTTTTCTATATGTTTGCACTATTTATAGTCCCATGGGAGTCCCATCAAAGTCCCATGGGAGCGGACTGGACCGCTTAGTCCCATTCTTGGCACTCCCATGGGACTTGATGGGACTCCTATATGGTCCCATGGGATAGTCCCATGGGACCACTCCCATGGGAGTTGGCAAGGTCTAATCAGCAGAGGGGATAAACGGGGTAGATAGAGAGGTACGAGCCATTTGAATTAGGCTCTGAAACGTTGGGTGCTCGATAAGTTGAAATGGGAGTCGATTAAGAGATAAGAAGGATAAAATCTCTTCCTCCCAAGCCTCTTATAAGAAAGGAGCCTCGGTCGGAGTATCATCCTAAAAAAATTTAGTAAGGAGAATAAAAGATTAAGTTATAATAGAACATATAGCTTTGCTGAGGAATCTTGTGATCTCTAGCTTTGATCCACCCTTAGCCTTTCGACACCCTACACTCTTAATATATTTTGACATTGTTGATATGCTATGATATTGTGCTTTCCGGTCGCCCGTTAGATAAGGATAGATAGTGTAAGGATACTCAAGAATCTGGCCGCAATTCTTACACATAACCTTTAGTGCCCTATCGATACTATTTGCAACCTAGTTAAACCTACCCCAAACATCAGACTGGTGGTTTGAGTCCTAATAGATCTTGCTCTTCCTTCCAAAATCAGTCTGTAACCACCAGTCGACCTATTCGGTATAAGTCATTTTGTCATAAAGAACAAATACCTTTCTCCGATCGGGACCAACATGTAGAAGTGAGGTAGGAGGTATAAGGGGAATAATCGGACGAAGGAATTCGGAGTCAATAGAGTCGAGATCGAACGTCTGCTGGCTAGTGGATGGTTCAGGGGTACCAAGTCGGTTTGAAGGGGTAAGATAACTAAGATTGTCTATATCTCCATCATAAATCGAGGATATCAAATTAGATTGCTGGCTCTGGGATATAATAGGCGAAATAAATAAATAATCAATTACGAGGGGAAGAATAAGAGAAGGGATTTACTTATAAAGGGCAGAAGACGTATTACCCTAGCTATAAATAGAGAGCTAAACGATTAAGTCGTCGTTTATCAAAAGTACCTACTTCACTAGCATTTAATTGGTATATATTATAGGTTTAAGTGGGTTAGAGCCAGCATAACCCAGCAAAACCCAGCTAAAACCCAGCCAAACCCAGCCAAACCCAGCCAAACCCAGCCAAACCCAGCCAAACCCAGCAAAACCCAGCAAAACCCAGCAAAACCCAGCAAAACCCAGCAATTATAACGGGCTAATGCCGGTACTAAGGCTCAGGCTCTACCCGCGCTTACTGCTAGATCCCCTCAGCCAGAGTTTCTAACCGCGGTCAGAAACTAGGAGTATTAGTACTCGGGCTCTACCCGCGCTCACTGTAAGATCCCCTCAGCTAGAGTTTCTGACCGCGGTTAGAAAGTATAGTAGAATAAGGCTTTAATCATATAATTAATTTTCTGACCGCGGTCAGAGATAGTAGTAGTCGAAAGGAGATCTCAACGTGTAAGGATAGAGTGACTACTTTACACTATATTCAAAATATATTTCTACAACTTCAACCATATCAGCAAACCTAAATTATCAAATACCACTACAACCATGATTATCTTTAATTTTTATTGGTAATAAACTAATATCTGGCCAATATAAAATGATATAAGTGTCTATTTAGTTTAGTCATATAAAGTTGATGTCGAATAAGTGAGTTTATATAGGTTCGATCTAAAACACAAAAAAATACGAAGATTACATGTTGATTATTTAGCAACTTTATGAACGCCAAGAGTTTGTTTTTATGCAAAGTTGGGTTTTACTGGGGCCCCATTGGGGGCCTAGCGCTGGGTCCGGGTTGGGTCCGGGTTCGCTGACTTCGACCCGGACCCAGGCTGGGTCCGGGTCCGGGTCCGATATCTCGACCCAAACCCGGGTTGTGCGATAGACTATCAGCAACTGTCATTTGCTGGAGAACGCCAGGACAAACGACATCTGCCATAGCGGCGTTTCGTTATCGGCTCTTTTGAGCTGCTTCGATAGTGTCGGAGCCCAAGAAGGTCGAATTCTCATCATGACGACTAATCACCCTGACAAACTTGACGCTGCTTTGACTCGCCCTAGTCGTGTGGATAAAATGTTTAACTTTGGGTATGCGGATAAAAGCAGTATTGAAGCATTTTTTGTCTCATCTACAAACCATTCATTGAACTGGAGTTCACCAGTGTGTCATACATTACGACTCGCAAATTGGAAAATCAGCTAGCTGGAGCCATGAAAACCCAGAAGATCCTGGACCTGTCCATTGATTTTGCTGAATTGGTTCCAGCTGAGCAATTCACAGCAGCTGAAATCCAGAGCTACCTCCTAGGTTTCAAGGATGAACCGGAAGTGGCTGTTAAAAGGGGCGGCCGAATGGGTAAAAGATACGATGGGGGTGAAATCGTGCAGTAGTAATTCATGAGTGCGGATTTTTATAGAAATGCGACAACTGGTTGGCTGGCCCACACAGTCACCATTCCGACACAAACCCTTGCCCTTCCTAATTTCACTGTTCAGTCTTAGAAGCAAAGGGCACGGTTATCCCCAGACTCACGTTGGTATGATTATGAGAGTCAGGCCATTGACAGCGGAACATATGTAACTATGTGGATGATTGCGAGCAATTGATTTGTCTCGCCTAAATGTACGGATGTAGCTACATAGAGTCAGATCATGACAATATTGTCTAGGACCTTCCACAAATCAGTTTCCGTATTACAATAAAATTCTTCTGTCTTTCCCATGTCCTAATTTTCACTCTCAAAATTTCAGAAGAAACAAATGAATAAATGCCTTTTCAAGCCGGACTTCAAGACAAAATGCTGCGATCATGATCATGAGCTTCATTGAGGCCTCAATCTTGATAACTTCCATGATGCAAATAATCCAAATTCCTGGCCTGGTTCTTCTAAGCACGTTCGCACAGGTCTTTTACAGTAGACTACTTAAGCTTTGACCCAAACAACACTGGTGATCGTAAGGAGTTTGTCATTCGGAGTGCTGGTAGATGGAGTGCTGGTAGATGGAGTGCTGGTAGATGGAGTGCTGGTAGATGGAGTGCCGGTAGATGAGTAGGAGGGCGAATTCGTTTTGTCCTTTTTCTCAATTGTAACACACCAACTACCAGTCTTCAATCCATCATTGAGTACACATGACGCTTGGTTCCCAGTTTTATTGGTAAAGGTGACCCGTCCTGTGTGATTCACCTGGATCCAAGCAACAGGCGAGCCGTCTTCTGTACCGCATATGTTGACATTGAGCATATTCAATTCGGGACTATTGCCCTTGACGACCTCACTTAGCACTATGAATCGGAGGGGAAGAAGGTGGTTGAGGAAGAGTAGGTTCTGAATGGGGGAACTGCGGTAAATCAAAGGGAGCCATTGTCTAAAGAAAGGCAAAGGCAAAGAAAGCGATGCATTGAGGTGGGCCGAAAAGGGCTAAAGGGGATTTTGGGGGAAGTTGTCTTTTTTTTCGTGATGCGCGACGTGACGCGCCGCATTTCATCCCCTCCAACCCTTTTCACTTCTACTTAACGGCTCACCCTTGTTAAAGTGAGATATCCACGGTCGATATACATTTGTTCTTTCTGCTCAACTTGTTTCTAGGCATTTTTCAGCACTTTATGACTCTCTGCGCGCTCTGAACGCGTAAAATTGCCATTGCGGGGGCGGTTTTTAATGTCAACACCGCCAAATTCCAGCATCTAGTCGAGTATACCACCATACCTCACGCTTCGCTTCAGGGTATATCATGAATAAAACACATCGGAGCTTCCACCTATTCTGATTGACACACCGGACACTCGAATTTGGGTCGAAGAAGTCGGCTAGAGGGGTGAACGGCTCTCGGCAGTGAGATATGTAGCAACAAGGCCGACTGAAGAATTGAAGATTGCCTATTCTTCATGATTTCCCGATACTGGCGAGGCTCTCATATCATACAGCCTTGGGGGTGCCACACGAAGAGACAGTAACATTGACTCTTTACTCTCTACTCCGTGTTCCGTACTCCGTGGCCCTAGTTCAGATGCGAACATGCCAAGATAATGTGGGAATGATGCCACGGAACTAATGGTAATTTATGCTAGAGAAACTAGATTGACCAGGGTCCAGTACAAGTAGGGTATTGTAAGGGGGACTGAAAGTTTGATATAAACCTGCTCACAGCCCTGGGGACTATAAAGCGGTCCTTCTCTTGTAGCATGTGTAAAGTTGTTGTTATATTATGGAGTTGTGTGGGTCACAATCCAGTAATATAGATACAGGTCTAACCCTAATGCATAAGTAGTGCGTATCAGGATGACAGAACAATACCATCAAAACAGGTGCTCCAACACCTTCCAAGGTTCCAACGAGGCTGGACTTTTCTCCGTCCTCAACTCCCCTCTGAACCACCGCAACATCCAACCTTAGAAAGTCGACCCATCATGTCGCTATTTCGAAAGCCGATGAAGCAATACTCCTGGCTTCCAGACTCCATTCAGGACGTCTATGAGTGGCTCCATTACTGTGAGCCCACCTGGGGCTACACAATCTACCGGACAACCTACACTCCCCAATCCAATGCCGCTTTCCCGCGTATGGTCGACCTCACCACGAAGCACATGAAGAATGGATTCTACTGGGAATACGAATCTTCCCTTAGCTGGAGACCAAGGGCAAAGGAGTTCATCAAAACGCCCTGGGATGAAATCTGGCCCAATTACCAGCCACGAGTCATTCAAGATGCTTCCCAGTTCGACGGAGCATCGATCGACCAACTCCGCGAGCATTTCAGGGCCGACGCAATTAAGCGTGATGTGCTCGATATGTTTCCTAGCTATCGCATGTTTATTGTTATTGACGAAGAAAGTTTTCAAACGTTACAGGACGCTCCCTTTCCAGGGGACATGAACTACAAAGAGAGGAGGCGTCATTACGTGAAACTCGGCGAGGCGTTGGAGGTAGATCCACATGAGGATTTTCCAGGGCATATGAAGTGTTCCCTGCCCTCGTTGTGGGAGGTGTGGACGGATATGTATGACGGGGGTTATATGAAGGACTGTGGTGCGATGATACCCGACGATTCTGATGTTTTGTGAATTTGTCATGCCATGTGGGACTGAGTACAACAGAAAAAAGACCCAAAATTCAATAGCTGCGTATTGTCGGTTCTGCAACTGAAATGGTCTACTGAATTGAACCGCCTGGGCACTCACCGACCCTACCATTGAAGCCTTGGAACCCGATTTGAAAGTTCTCTTGTATGAACTATATACATCTATCTATCAATTCACATGGTTGCTCAGCTTCAATCCAGATCATCCATGTCAATCTTCATATCCGTCGCATCCGCCTTCATCTTATCCAGAGTCTCGATAGTAGGTGCGACATTGGATCCCGTCCTCACTGCCCACAGTCGTCTCATGTCAGCTATGCTGCTAAGGGCCCAATTGGTATTCGTTGTTCCAATATGCTGAAGCCGGTCTCGGAACCATTGATCCCACCAATCCTGGGCATAGACTGCATCATTTCCATCGGCGGTCCACTGCTGGTCTACTAGGCCCCACTCCCTGCGGATTTCATTTGAAGTGGCAACCATACGAGGACGTACTCGAGGATCATTCAGATAATTCATGACAGTGATGACAGATCTGATGCTTTGTAGGGCTTCGTTCGGATTATCGAGCTCCATTTGAGTGGTCATGTTCGCATATCTTGTGGCATCACGCCACATCTAGAAAATGAATCAGTAAAAGAAGCCCCCACGATTGAGCCAGGATACGGGGTTTCAAGGTCTTACCCGACTTTTGATCAAATTTAGGCCCTGAAGGAGAACCATGAAATTTTGTTCATTTGATCTGCTTCCAAGAGCATTCATGACTCTTACGAGCGGGGTTGACGATGCCTCCCCACCTGCCATTGGAGGTGCAACACGCAGCATAGGCGTGTTGAGGGCTTCCAGGAATGGACGAGGTAGGGCAGAGTTTCTGGGTTGTCCTCCAGTTGACAACCTTCCTGCGTAACCGTTTCTGAGGAACCCTTGAATCGTGTTCAGTTCAATGTAATATTCCGCTGCATTCGGTCAGTCAAATCACAACAAGGCAATGAAGAAATGAGAGATGTCAAAAAGCTGGAGAGAACCCAGCCATATTCAAAGCCATAAAGGGAATATTACCTGAATAGGGTCGCCTGCCCCTCGCAGTGGTGATCCTTTGACTCCCAAGGGTTGTATCCAGACATTCAGCCTCGCCTCGATATTCATATGCATGGTTCCAAATGGGGTGGCCTACGGCCCATTCACCACTGCTTCTATACTGTGATTTCCGTGATTTAGTCAGGAGTCAAATCGAAGGGGGGTCTCTTAACATACCGAGAAAGATTCCCAGTTAAGGGAACCCCCATTGCGGAAAGGTACTCTGGAGGGCCGGGGACCCGCTCTCTTTTCCAAACTCCGTGCCTCGAGGTTGCCTCCGTCATCATCGTCGTCTGAATCCTCATCACTACAGTCTTCTTGTCCGTCTGGACAGCAGGATCGATATGCGTATTCGCAGCTGATCTCACTGTCTTCACCTCCAATCTTGTCGTCGAATATGTCCATGTTGCAGACTATCAAGGCGGAATAATCGACCATTCCATCTTCCTTCCATTCGGGGTTCTTCTTCAGCCATGACTGGATTTTATCGACCGCAAAATTCTTGTAGACAGAAGCAACGTTCTTGTCCCAAATTTCGATGGCTGCTTGGCCTGCCACAAGCGTGAAGCCGATATCGAGCATCAGACCGCGCATAGACTCATACGGCCTGGTATCAAAACGACGGTGTAAGACCGATGTGTGGTTGTATTCCCCAGAGGAGAGGCCCACAAATTCCATGCTTTCCAAATCGCGCTTGAAGTTGTAGGCATCGCTGCCGCAGTCTGGGTTTTTCATGAATGCTTTCACGTTAGACTCAAGGCGGCTTTCAGAATCAGTGTAGGATCGCTTCGTCTTCGTGACATAGTTCGCGCTACAGCACATGGACTTTCCACCGTCACCTTTGCAGCCGTCTCGGTGTTGATCCATGGCGACGCGGACCTTGTCACTGGGACAGCCGCTGTAGCAGTAATCTTTGACAACACCATCGGCAAGCGCCAAACCAATGTCGTCTCTCCATTCGCAGTCGTCCCATTTGGTCTTGTCGTCGTCATCGCAGCAGTACTTTCGCGTCTCCCAGGAAGTACCTTCATTGCCGTTCCAGGTATATTTGACGCTTTTCGCGTTGCAGTAGTTTCCACCACTGCCAGTCGTTGAGTTCAGGAAATATTCCATGTTGCTTGGGCACTCTCCGCTATCACAACCCGGCGCACTGCCAGCCCAGTCACACTGAGAGTAAAGCTTCATGCTGTTTGTGTCGGTTGTACAACATGCAGCCTGGTAGTCGTTGTCGTTGTTGCTGCAATGCTGGAAATTCGACCCAACTTCCACGTACCCTGACGGGCAGTCTGATTTGCAGTGACCGTTGTTATGCGTATACCAACCACACTTGGGCTGCTCAGAGTCGGGCGGACAGCAGAAGGTATGCTGTCCATCACCACCACATCCGGTGTTATCCCACATCCTCTCGTCCCCGCGAGCACCCTTGTCAGTGCGAGCAACAGTTGTCCATCCACTGGGACAGCTCTCAAAGCAATTGGTCCATCGACATTGGAGATGAGTCTTCTGGACTTCCATTGAGTCCTTCGTCTTGTCAAAGGCTAGTGAGGTGACTTTTCGGCCGGTCTTTTTTGCCAACGCAGTGGAAAAGTTGCCAGATGGGTGATCGTGAGAAACTGCCCAAACCATGACACCACCAAGACACTGGGATTTCGCAAAGTCGGTTTTCATCTCGAGGGTTTCCTCGTCGTCGTATGTGAGCCACTGATTGGTGTCAAACTTGAGTATCTTGACGGCAGCATCTTTGTCGAGTTTTGATGTGAGTTTTTTCTCGCTCATGATATCCTTGACTTCAGAGTTGAGTAGGATGCTAACTTCATCACTGCAGGGACCTGGGTTACCACCCGAGACGAAGGGGCATCCAGGGTCCATGCAGGCAGGGTCCGAAGCAGAGAAAACACGAGCGTGGAATGCCAATCCAAGAACCACCTTGTCGGAGGGGACGTCGTTACGCCAGATGAGGTCCATGGCATTTTTGATCTCGGTCAGATTGGTGTGCGAGTTGAGAACAGGATCAAGCCATTGGTTTCCCAAATCCCATTTTCCGTGAAGATCGTAGGACATTATGTTGAAAAAGTCGACATGTTTGTGTAAGTTTTCGAGATCAAAGTGTTGCAGATACCAGTATGAGGCAGGCAAGGTTATGCTAACCCCATCACGGCCACCTGTTCCTTTAAGAGACTTCTTGAGGTTGGCGAGGAATTTGGGGAGGTTTTTGAAGTCCTCTTCACGTCCACCGCGATCATCTGCAGTTGGATATTCCCAATCAAGATCAACGCCATCAAAGTTGTAATCAGTCATGAATGTCTGTCTTCAAAGAGGCAATGAACTTCTTCTGGTTTGCTTCTGAGCGTGCAATATCGGAGAAGACCGTTCGAGTTGGACCAGGATCATTGAAAGTCCATCCTCCAATGGCAATGAAGACTTTGAGATCAGGGTCGGCCTTCTTGAGATCGGTCAATCTCTTCATGAGCTTTTTCTCAGACTCGCTGGGAGCCAGGACCGCGAAGGATTCGGGGTCAACTGAAGCAAAAGCATAGTTGAGATGAGTGTATACTCCAACTGGGATCTGATCAGGATAGAAGACGTTGCATGGGCGATTAACGCTCCAGCTTTCGTAGTATCCAACAACTCGGTTCAAGCTGTCTTTGTTTGGGCATGAGGGACGCTTGACTTTCTTGGTGCCGCAAAAGTCCTTGGTGGTTCCACAGAAACCGAACTTGGAGCAGCAGACATTCAAGGGACATTTCTTAGACTCGGCATAATCGCCGTATTTTCCGGGATCGCACTCGGACTTTCTCTCGCAGTTCGCAACACAGTCGTCACCACAGACTAGAAATGAAGTGTTAGAGATTGAAGTTAAAAAAATTGGGCGAGATCAAATCTTACAGTCAGGTCCTAAACCGCAGAATCCAAATTTGTTGCAACATCCCTGAGCACAGGGTTTTGAAGCAGAGCACTCTGGTTCAAAATCACAGCTAGCGACACAATCGGCACCGGAGAAGTCATCGGTTATTCCGCAGTAGCCGAATTTGTTGCAGCAGCCAGTGGCACAAGGAGCGAGAGCACTGCAGCCTGCGGCTTGGGCATTCTGGCACAACAAGAAGAGACAAGTTAGGCCAAAAAGCCAGAGAAGGCTCCGATTGAAATGGAAGGCCCCCATTGTGCTTCACAAATCTTTCTCGCAGGGTGCGATCTCGTTTTCTATTACTTCTACTAAATTTTCTTCTATCATCCGGTATCCCGTACTCAGATGCTACTGGACGTAGCCAAGGCCCTCCTCCGTGTTAGCGTGAGGGATTAATCTCCTCAATTCTGATCCGGTGCTTGATAGTTCAAACTATTTACTCCGTAGCTGTGGAAAATTCTCCCTGCATGCATTTCTCAAGCGTAAAAACAATGAAGAACTATAGTGAGGCCCCATCGAGGCTGTTGTAGTACGGAGTAGAGTGGTATTCTTGGCGCAGTTCGCGATAGGGCTTGGTGGGCCTCTTGGCGCTCTTGGCGTTTACCCTTACCGGCTGATCCGCGACAGATGTCAGTACTATATCGCGGTTGATAGAATTCGGAAAAGCTTGCTTGAACTTGGCGAAGATAGGCACGCCAGCATTGGTCTCATATCCTGCAAGTATGAAGCTCAAAACGAAGGTCTCTCGTGTCTGTCTCTGCACCGCTATAACTGGTAGCCCCCGGTGGATAATGGTATTGTCAAACGCTAGCTTCGACTAGCACAATACATTGTATCTGGCCCCCGATGGAGGCTCATTTCGCTTCTTCGCTGGAGCGTGCAGTAGCTTCGGGAAGAGGCTGAGACATCAATATGGCCAAGCCGGGTAGCGCATGCCAGAATCCAAAAATGGGTAACATGCGATCTCCTGGTTGGTTCAACGTGAAGAGGACCCTGAGTATAGAGCCTCTTAGTATCAACGGAAACTTCCGGCCCATCGCTTAGCGAAATTTGGTGGAAGAAATGTCGGGTTGCATCAAGTAGCGTGGATGGAATTGGGTCGCGAGCTCCGGCCGAGGCGAGACGGATTTATGGTTAAGTATTCCCCTGGTGTTGGGAGGCCTTTCATCTATGCCGCGAGGTTTGAATGAAGATGAGACTGAGTGGTAGATCACGGTTTTCCGATCAAGGCTTGTTGCCGCTGATCGCGGCACTGGCCCTGACGATCTTCTGGGTTCCAGTGTGGGCCGATAATACTCAAACTCACCACAATCATCTTCATCATAGTCATCTCCATCACAAGCGTGGCAATGCGAGCGCAACCGGTCATGGCGATGCGCGCGAAATGGTACAAAATGCACTCGCGGTTTTAAAAGAAGTCAACAAAGATCGAACGGAGAATCCCAATTTTAACAAAGATACCTTTTCTGAGCCCCGCAAGGGCACAAGGGCGACTGCTAAGCCTTTGGACTACAGCCCCGAGTCTGTGAATATTGCCCGTCTTCAGACCAGAGATTCTTCTTCGAATAAAACGAGCGGAAACAGTCCTTACGTGATTCCACCTGAGCTGGCTAAGGCTGCTCGCATTGTCGCTGAGTCCACCGTCAACAAACCAACAGGCAATCAGCCTCAGGTTGCAGCGAATATTCGAGAGAAGTACGGCAAAGGCCGCAGACATACCAATACCCCAGCACAGGCCCTGCTCAGACCAAATGGACTCTATGGTTACAGTGCATTTGAAAGTGGTGATGAGACTGGCCACATAGGTGACAACAAGACTGCCAAAGCGACGCTCAACAAGCGTGATGCTGCTTCTGAGTACTGGATGGCCACAGTGGACCAGACCGGTCAAAGTCCATTCGCACCCAGCGGCTACAAGGTAAATTTCCCATTCAACATCATCCCCCCTTTCTGCACTTTCACTTCGTTTGTCTCGCTGATCATGCTGTATTAATCTTGTGTGACCTGTGGCCCTCTTTCATCTTTCCCTTGCTTCTTTGAACTAAGAACCGCTCCTGATCAATGTTCTCTAGGTTTGGAGAAATGTCAAAGACTATGGCGCTGTTGGTGACGGAGTCACAGACGACACAGCGGCCATCAACCGTGCTATTTCCGAGGGAGGTAGATGTGGCCCTGACTGCGGCTCTAGTACTATCTATCCTGCTACAGTTTGGTTCCCCAAAGGCACCTACCTTGTCAGCTCTCCGTTGATTCAATACTATAATACGGAGTTCCTGGGAGACGTGAGTACTACAATCTAGCAGGTCAAACGAAAGCTCCCACTAACTTACTAAAAGCCGATCAATGTGCCAACTATCCTGGCAGCCTCTAGCTTCGTCGGTCTGGGTGTCATCACTTCCGATGTCTATGTCAGTGATGACGAGCAATGGTATGTCAATCAAAACAATTTCCTGCGCAGTGTGAGGAATTTCAAAATCGACATTCGCCAAACGGATACCTCGGCCTATATCTGTGCCATTCACTGGCAGGTTGCTCAGGGAACCTCTCTAGAGAACATCGAGTTCTACATGGTATATAACTCGGATGTTCCCAGCAATACACAGCAGGGAATCTATATGGAGAACGGCTCGGGTGGTTTCCTCGCAGACCTCACATTTGTGGGAGGCAACTTTGGGTAAGCCACATACCAGAATCATCTGGATTTCTTTTCTTGGATGCCTTCTAATGTGATGAATGACAGTGCATACTTTGGCAACCAACAATTTACTTCAAGTCAACTCGTCTTTGTTCAGTGCAACACAGCCCTTCAGGTTCACTGGGATTGGGCATGGACTATGCAGGACTATGTCATTGAGTCGTGTACGAACGGTTTGACTATCGTCGGCGGGGTATGTTTTATTATTCCGAACATGAACTATTGGTCAAACATGAAGCTTACTTGAATTAGGGTGGCGGCGCCCTGGGTACCGGTCAAGGTGTTGGATCTCTCGTTTTGGCTGATGCCATCATTGCAAACACGGCAAATGGTATCATCACCTCTCTCTATGCCGAAAACTCGACCTCCCTGCTTTTGAAAAATGTGGGCTTTTTCAATGTCAAAACGGCCATCACAGATGACGTCAAAAACCAAGTTCTCCTAGCAGGAGGTGATGAGGTTCTCAAGGATGCCTGGGGATTCGGTAGGGTCACCGACGCTGAAGGCACAGGATCTTTTGTGTCCGGTGCAGACATCACTACCGGATCCATGAGCAAGAAGCTGCTTGGAACCCAAGCTTACGTCAAGTCCAATCTCTTTACCCGCCGATGACCTCAATACGAGGACATTAAGGCAAGTGATATTATCAACGTTCGGACTTTCGGCGCAAAGGGTGATGGCAGCACTGATGACACCGTCATTCTCAACTCTGTTCTTTCCTACGCCGCCAACATTTCTTCGGTTGTCTACTTCCCCTTCGGATTATACATGATTCAGGATACACTGAAGGTTCCTGTCGGCTCCCGCATCATCGGACAAGCTTGGTCTCAAATCATGGCAACAGGAAAGAAGTTCGAGGATGTTGACAATCCGTATGTGGCCGTCCAGGTGGGAGTTGAGGGCGATGTTGGTATTGTTGAGATTCAAGACATGCTTTTCACTGTTTCGGGCCCCACTGCCGGAGCAATTCTCGTGCAGTGGAACGTCGCAGAGTCTGTCCAAGGATCTGCTGCGATGTGGGACTCTCATATTCGCATTGGCGGAGCCATTGGATCCAAGCTACAAAAGGCTCAATGTCCCAAACAGTCAGGCAAAGTCAAGCCTGGTTGTATTGCGGCATCTCTTCTCCTTCATCTCACACCTTCTTCAAACGCCTATCTGGAGAACATCTGGGTTTGGGTCGCTGATCACGATATGGATGTGACCACCCAGGATCAAATTGATGTATATGCAGGACGTGGTATTCTGATTGAGAGTAAGCTCGCGTGGCTGTACGGTACGGCCTCGGAGCATTGCACACTCTACCAGTATCAACTTTCTGGTGCAAGCAACATCCTTATGGGGATGATTCAAACAGAATCACCATACTACCAACCTGTTCCCCTGGCTCCCAGTCCATTCACACCGGGCTCATTCCCTAATGACCCATTGTTCAAGAATTGTGACTCAACCACTGCTGCATGTGCATTCTCTTGGGCCGTACGTATCATTGATTCAACTTCTATCTGGGTTTTGGGCAGCGGTCTGTACAGCTGGTACTCAGATTATTCTCAGAAATGTCTCGATACAAACGATTGCCAGCAACGCGGGTTTGAGATTGAGCAAAGTCATGATCTTTGGATTTACAATCTCTGTACCAGGGCAATTGTGGAAATGGTCACCCCCTTCCAAGGTGTTCCGACATACGCCAAGGACAACGTCAACGGGCTTCTTTCTTCGATTCTCGTCTGGATCGGTGGTTTGGATATGACTATTGGCCAGAGGAAATTCGACGGCTTTTCTATCTACAGCTCTGACAGCCTGGAGAAGATCGATCTTCCGGACACTTGCAAAACTTCATTGGCAGCAAATATCAAGTGTGAGACATACCTTGAGAACATGATGTCTCGCAAATGGCATGGCTCGTTGAACAATGATACCCTGACGGACCTTGTCTGTGACACTAGCTGTGGCGAGAGCCTGAGTGAGTGGTTCGGGGCTGTGCAAAATAACTGCGGCGGATATAACATCAGCGGCTCTCCTCCGGAGCTATATGGTGGCCGTATCTGGGCCGGTTACAATGAAACTTGCAGCAAAGATAAAGCCACAGGCAAATACTGCAATGGTATGTTACAGACTTCTCCCCACGGTGCATGTAACTAACTCTTTCTCTGCAAGACGTCATCAGTGATTTTACTTTGGTTCAAAGCACCGCAGATATGCCTGAAAGCGAAGCTTGCTCTTACTGCTACACAACTCGTCTCCAGATGATGCAACAGACGCCTTACTCGATGTACGACGACTACTACCAAGAAGTTCTGGTAGAACTGAACAAACGATGCGGCCTCTCCGGACCTACCGACATCCTTGAAATCCCCTGGGCGACCATCGAGGAGGAAGACGAGTTCTGTGTCTCGGATAATTACTACACAACAGTCAAAGGTGACAACTGCACATCCATCGCAGCGGCAAACAAGGTCTCATCCGCGTCACTTTACACGGGTAACCAAGAGAAAATTGTGGATTGCTTCTCCATCAAAGCAGGCCTCAAGCTTTGTCTTCCTTTAACTTGCGAAGATACATACTCACTCGAGCCAACAAACAATTGTACCGCGATCGAGTACGCCTACTCGCTTTCAACCGGGGATCTCCGCAAATACAACCCGTGGATCTCCTTCGACTGTGACAATCTGCAAATTGCCAGCAAGATTTACGGCAATAATCTTTGTCTGTCGGCGCCCGGTGGTGCGCACTCCAATGCAACAGCCGGTACAGGTTCAACTACTCCCGGCAAATCAAACGGATATAGCGAGGCCTGGGCTGCCCCGCCGACAAACGCGACTATGGCCGAGGGAACAACCCTCAATTGTGGAAGATGGCATGAGGCTGCTGCCAATGAGACCTGTGTTGGAATCTGTGCCCAAGAAAGTATCACACATGCTTTGTTCGTGGCCGTCAACCCGTCACTGGATGATGCTCGATGCTCGCAGACGTTACAGACGGGCAAGACTTGCTGTTCTGGTCCGTTGTATTTGTGGAATGATGCGGAAACTTCTTCCAGCAGTAGTGCCAGCGAATCAGCTTCAACGTCAGCTGTTTAGCTGAGACTCAAGTCGAACTCTAGTATATAATTTGTGAACAAATTCATCCATTTCTTCAGTTCGTGATTATCGGAAGACTAAGCATGTACGACGATATTGTATGTATTGCGGGAGATGAGCAGAGGAAGCAGCCCTGGGAGAGAGAGAGAGAGACAGAGACAGAGAAGCTGTCACTCTGCCACTCTGTCACTCTGCCACTCTGTCACTCTGCCACTCTGTCACTCTGCCACTCTGTCACTCTGCCACTCTGTCACTCTGCCACTCTGTCACTCTGCCACTATCTACTGCGCCGGAGTCTGACCAATCAGGCAGCCACACCTGGGCAAGCTCCGACAGTGATGCATAATGCACCACCTTAGAACGCAATGTTGGCAGCAACACGAGGTATGCTCGTGGCCATGTGGCCGCAGACATCAATTGCTATTATAATTCATTCCGCCAACCTTTGAAGTGTCTTTATCTTCCCAGGTTCAAAGTCAAAGCCCTTGGAATTGAAATTGAAATTGCGGGTTCTAGGGGTACATTCCGCCCTGGGGGAGCCCTAAAAGTTGGGGGAAGAGGCCCCGCAAATTAGGCGGCAACTAGGATTAAGGGGTGGGTGCAGAGTCGTGCCTTAACTCTTAGGGTTGACTTGAGTAACCCATTAATCTCACAGCTCAGCGGAAATCAATGTACTCTGTGCTTCGAATTCTGGAGTGTAAACCCGCCTTCATGCGGATTCGTGGAAATTAAGGGTTCCTGGGAACCATGAGGCCATTCCTGGGATAGGAAGTCCGTCTCCAGGAGTATCTGTCAGAGATCGAGCATATATAGTAGCTTGGGTGTTTGGTCGCTGACCAAACATTGTGCCTTTTTGGCCTGTTAGCCTAGTGGTAAAACCCAAGCAACCGCATCCCTGACAGTATCCAGTGGAGTTCCTGGGCGCCAATAAGTTCCCAGGAGCGCATGCTGCCCTCCTGGGATGAGAAAGTTCTACGTAACCATTTCAAACTCGTAGATCGGTCCAATGCATTTTTCATCAATTTTATTCACAGATCAACTATAGAAGTTGCAATTCCATTCTATATGTGTGACTGAAGTCAAAGGTGGGTTTCGCCATAAGTGCTTTGAGGTTTGATATTGTCAGAGATTGGCATGAAGTATACAGGATGTTTGGAGAAATGATCTGCGGGACCCACATGGTGCACATGGGTTCCCCTGAACGCGAGGAAGCTCGTTCCTTTTGCTTCCTCGCGCTACGTCTTGTATCTAGAGTCGACTATAGCTTTCTTTAATATTGGTTATTCATCTACGAAACTCAGTCCCCATCTACGTATACGTGAGACCCTCACATTACGTAGCGCCAACCCTGATAACCGACGACAACAAAGACAACCGACGACAACAAAGACAACCGACGACAACAAAGACAACCGACGACAACAAAGACAACCGACGACAACAAAGACAACCGACGACAACAAAGACAACCGACGACAACAAAGACAACCGACGACAACAAAGACAACCGACGACAACAAAGACAAAATGACGCCCAAATCCAACGAACCCACTAGCGCTCGAGGGCCTGAGGATATGGAACGGAAAGGACGAACAAGAAGAGAAACCGTAATAGACTGCGACATCGCCCGTCCATGGGCACCTAGGAGGTGCCCAAGGCCCGTCCACGGTGGGCCTTGGGCTATTTGGATTTTCGAGTGCCCGTCCATAACGCCCAAGGCCCACGGGCATGCCCACGGCGGGCATGCCCACGATGCCCACTATTGCATAAAGTCACCCAAAATGGACGTATAACTCGCTGACTTTGCATAATAAATAACTGTTATTTACACCTGTTTTGCCAACTCCATGTAAAATGGCAGTTTTAATCTACAACATCTATAAATTTTACTGAAATATCTATGTATATGAGAAACTAGTATATATATGATACGAATTGGAATAAAATTTTAATCGAAATACATCATATTGTGTGGTATTTTTATTAACTTATCAAATCATACTGTAACAGCTTGAAGATATATATTCAAGTCAGTGGTACATACCTAGCATTTTCTATAAGTAAAATACTACTTATAGATTCTACTTTATCTCTTACTCTGGTATATTTCTTATAGGTAGATCGAAAGATAATTAGTATAATTCTTATTTTATAAGCTTATATCACTAAATTCTGTCAATTATATCACTCAAAGACTTGTATTATTATTCTGGGAGTTTTAAATCCTTCGATTGTAACTCAAGATGGGCGTTTAGGTATGTTCCCATAGGCGTGCCCACGGGCGTGCCCATAGACAAAGACACTTATAGCTAATCAGCTTATAATATATAGTGGGTCTACACTCAATTTACGATCTATCAGATCTATAGAAAGCACCCCTTTTACTAGTAATCCTCATTTCACACGGTCGCAAGTTACCTATTATAAGTTCAGATCACTCACTCTCCTATAGTCGTTATATTATCCCTTACATCACATTAACCATGTCCCAACCTAGTGCCTATACCGTAGGCCTTCTTCACTTCCTCCGAGCTCCCAACCAGACCTCTCCTACATCGCCGATATATTTAATCCTAACCTTAATCCAAATATTGATCCCAGTCTCTTCAACAGCTAACAGACTTCTATCTCACTAATAGAGTCCGAGTTCACTCAACCGGCTATTCTTGATTGCTCTCTCAAACGCGTCGGCCCCGATCGGAGAAAGCAGTTTATCCTCTACGACGCGATAAACAACGCGTCCAAAGTAAAGTTTATCGAGTAGTAGCGTACCACAGTACGCGGCAGCAGTACTGAGACACAACAAAGGCTACGATAGGATGCAAAACACATATCAGATGTCTAGGAGAACTTCGACCAGGTAGCACATCATATTACAGGCGAACCTTTGGTCATATATCGGACGTATAGGGTTACATTGCCTCATCCAAGTACAAAGCAAAGCGGCACCAATACACTCAAGCGGCATCTAGCCTCAGGCAAATACCAAAAGGGTAGTAAAAGCAAGGCTACACAACAGTCGATTAAGGAGACCATACAGCATATACCGGTAAGTCTTATATTATTATACCCTTCAAGATAACTAACATATTACATATTAGGCACTAGAGTTATCTTATAACTCAAAATTCTCGAATAATAAATGGGAAAGAGAGCAGATTGAATGTCTTACCAGTCTGAACCTCCCTTTCCGGGTACTTGAGAGGAAGCAATTTGCTTCCTTGATTCGAATAGCACAAAAGGCTCCAGCTAAACCCACTTTACTCCATCCTCGCACTACTCAACGCCGGCTCAAGAAATTGGTCGACGAGGAGCAACATTCAATTCTCGCTACCTTACCACAAGATGCGAAGCTCTCAATTGCCCTCGACTACTGGACATCGCCTTTTCAGCAGGCATTCATAGCAATCACAGGGTACTTTATCGACCGAGACTGGAATTACCGTAAGCTCCTACTTGGTTTCGAACCACTTAATAGGGCGCATTCTGGTGTGAATCTAAGTGAAGTACTTATAGAGATCTTTAAGAAGCTTGATATTACTGATCGTGTATTAGCGATTACATCAGATAACGCGTCAAATAACACAACTTTAGTACAGGCAGTTCAAGACTCTATTGACTCCCTTAAACTACCGAATAGCCCGGTAGTTGTTCGAATCCCTTATCTTACATATGTTATCCAGCTAAGCCTTCGCGAGCTACTTGGATCGGTGAAGGCCGATCCCCAGAACGATACCACAGATCGGAATGTTTCAGATATCCAAGCCTAAGCCCAAGCTCGATCGCTCCGTGCTTCACAGAGTAAACAAGTCATTATACAAACCCTTATTAAGGTAAGTGTATCACTTTGTTTATCACTTAATATATCTAATAACTATCTAGATTCGAGGGCTTGCTGTATTCATTAATGCAAGCCCCCAACGTCGCGATGATTTCTTCCGTCTCTAGACCAATAGAGCAAAACTTACGCCTATCCAAGATATCCGCACCCGCTGGAATTCTACCTTCTTGATACTTCGTCGTGCGAAACGCCTCAGCAAGCCCTGCGATAAATACTGTGATAACATTGGGACTCAGAAATACAAACTCAGTAAGGCAGAATGGCGGCAGGTCGACTACCTCCTATATATCACAGAGCCGTTCTATCGCTTTACCACAGTACTTTCAAAGACCAAAGAGATAACAGTACATCATATTTTTGGTATTTATAACGCCCTCTTTGAGCACTTCGAGGAATCGATTGCACGGCTCACTCCGAAAACCATACCTTAGAAGAAGGCGATGCTATAAGCCCTCAATACTAGGATAGCAAAGCTTACCTCTTACTACACAAAGACGAAAGAGATCTATAGTAGTCTCTACGCGATTGGAACAATTCTTACACCCCAGCATAAGCTTCACTTCTTCTCAAGTAAGGCGTAGGGTATATCGGAGAACGACACAAACTGGAGTGATCAGTATAAGGAAACGCTTCGCCAGTTCATAGCTCCTTACGCCCAAAGACACACTCAGATACGGTCCCTACGAGAAGAGCAACCCCCTAAGCGTCACTCAGCCAGTACAAGTGACCTAGACGCCCTCCTTAACCTTCTGCCTCACATCCACTCTAATCTATCAACGTCGGAGCACGAACTTACTAGATACCTTGAAAAGCGTACGTTATATTCACTGTTATTACGAGCAGGAATACTAATACCTATAATAGCAAGGAGAAAGGTCGATCCTTTACAATTCTAGAAGGAATATAAGAATAAATTCTCAATTCTTTCCAGTATTACTCGCGACATTCTCTCTATTCCTGCAACAGGCGCTGGAGTTAAACGTCTTTTCAATTCAGCACGGGATATCTGCCACTACCGACGTAGGCGGCTGAGTACGAAGACAGTCCAGGATATTATAATATTCCGGTATAAAACCCAGTTCGACATTGAAATAGAAGAACTACCCGATAAGGATACGTCCTTAGATTCAATGCAAGAAGCAGACGAACAGAGAGAGG